AGGTGAAAAGGTGCAGTGTGTGTTTCTGTCCACATGGGTGCTGTTATATCAACATTTCACTTGTTCTGTCAGCTACGGCTTCTTGCTGATGGAAAGAGACAATGAAGCGAAACATTTATTGCGCCTAAAGATTCGGTTACTTCCCTGTGTATCCTTGTTAAGCTCAAATACCTGCTCATCTGGGGGTTCAATAATATACACCATTTGCTGAAAGGACGTCACCATTCACGACAGTACAATCATCTCACCGGGCAAGATTTACACGCATTGTTCAGACACTCTAAAACCATCCACACAGAGGAAGCAGCGACATGGGATAATGTGAAAACAGTTACTCCGGCTTGTTTTTACCCACTGTACTCATGCGCAGAGCACTAACAGTAAAAGGTTATTTCCGCTACATGGAGGACTTCAACAAACAATGTACAATTGAGGATTGGGGGGGGGGTGTATTATAATTATTATTTTGCCACAGGCAAAACTAGCACCGTGGTCCTTTCCTTTTACAGTATAGGAAAGCAAAAGTACCCCTTGCATACATTTTGAGACAAAACCATCAAATTAACGACATGTCAACCAAGACTTGACACTGGGTTACAAAGCTTCCTCTTCAAATCTAACAAAGATCACATCCGCAATATACATTTAAAGCACATCACTTCTCCCAAAGAATCCTGGGAAAGTTACAGTTTCAAGTACCCTTAAACTAGTCCCCAGGACTTTTATGGAGGGAAAGTCATGTCCTTTAAATGTATGTTATTAAACAGTATTAGATTGGTGAGCATTACTGGCAGGGCCTTTTCAGCATTGGCTCCATACATACATATTCAAGATATATACATAGTGCTTTTTTTTTTTTTGGAACTCCCTTCCTAGGCAGGGGAAGGAGTGGCCCCTCCATTGGTGTTTCCTTAAAACCGACACTGAAGAGCTTTTTATTCTAACCTGCTTTTAATTGACATTTCCACTATTCTGCATCTAACTGCTGTTGTTTGCGTGTTTTAATTCTTTACGCTTCACTGCCAGTTTTTAGTGCTGTTTTTCTGCAGACTTTGTTTAACTGCTGAAGCTATTTTAGCTGCTTTCCAGATTGTAGTTTGGATGGGCTGGATCCAGACTAAACTAATTGCACTTGAAATAAATGGTGCTTCAGTTACATCACTGCAAACTCCTCCCCTTGATTTCAATTAGCAGAGCACAGATGTAACTCAATATGTCTGATTAATTTCATTTTTAAAAATTCTGTCACAACCCACTATGGAAGGATTATTCCTTTCAGTTTCAATGATATGTTTTAGCACACAAATTACCTTCCCTTTGCTGTTTTAGCATGATTTTTATATTAATTTCATGTTGGTCCATTTTTAGGCTGTTTTGGTAATATTGATGCTGTTATTTTTTTAAAAAAATGCATTTGTTTTAGGGATTGAGTTGTCTTTGTATACTGATATTCTGATTTCTGTAAACTTTGGTAAACAAAAAAATATATATCTAGAAATAGCACAATTTAAAAATCCCTCAAAGACACCCAATAAATACTTATATACATAAACAAGCTGTCACTAAATCAAAGGCCTAACCAAACCCAAACATTATAAGGCTAGAAAGCAATCAAAGCAAACTCCACACTCCAAGGAACAACTTTCAAGTCATTAGCATGATACAATTTAATCTATATAATCCAAATCTACTACCACTTCCCTTCAGGCAAAGCTTAAAAGAAAACAGTTTGATATTAAAGTCGCTTGGTCAGCTTCAAGGCAACCAGCAGGAAAGAAATTAAGTGGAGTCTTTCTTTTCTTTTCTTTTTTGAGGTGACACAATGGGTTTGAGTGCTTCAGAACTTCACTTGGGACACAAACTGCGATACGCACAAAATTCGAACTGTAGTGACAACTGTAGCAACTGATGCCAAGGATCGGAGTAGTGGAGAGTGATCACCCAAGGGAAATAAAAGAATCTTAGTGCTCTGTCATCAAACAGGAGCTCAAAAAGGATAGGCAGAAGATGCAAAGACTGGTCTGTTTTGGACAGAAACAAGCCACCTCACCAACTGGAGATGTTTGGTTCATTCACATGTTAGGCTTAACACTGATGCAAGAGGTCTCTATAAACACACAAGCATTTGTGAGAAGTAACAGATTTGTTGATCTGTATAGCTCAATTGTTGCGTACATGGACAGTCAACCTGTGGAACACTACCTGTGAAAAACCGTACAGCTCAAGCTGTACACAGGTTGTACACCCGTTGGCCGTAATGTGTGAACACAGCCCAACACATGGGTGTTTGTTCCTAGAAATATAATCACTGCAAGAACTAAGGGTGCAAGCCTGCGATTATTTACCCAGAAGCAAAACCCGCTGAATTCACAATTTGGATTTTCTCTCCGGCGAGTATTACAGGACTGCAATCGAGATAAGAGCGTATGAAGGAATCACACCAGTGCTGGGAAGGGACTGAAGACAAGATGATCCAAACAAATATTCTGGCCCACAAACCTCCTGGGCACATCAGCCACACCACAAAGTAACTCACACCATTCCAAGCAGTGTGGTTAACAGGAAGTGCAACCAACTTCTATTTCCTGTTTCACACTTCTTTGCAGCATGGCACATGTGAGACTGGTGCATCTATCCTGCAAGGAGATGCATATGCTCTCCATGCAGCGATAGCTAAGGCATCCCCCTGTGAGGAAGACGTGAAAAGATAGGAAGAAACATGAAACAGAAAGCAAAAGTAACTTCATACTTCCTCCCCTCCCTTGCCCCTCTCTCCAGCTTAAAGTCTCAACAGCAAGGAACACAAAAGACCCTTAGAGTCAGAAGTATATTCATGGAACAGCTTACTAGTCACCTAGTAAATAGTCACCTGTCTAGTCGCCCACAGCTAATTCAGATATAGCTCTAGGAAATCAGGAATGAGAGTTGCCTCTTGTCACCCCCCCCCTTTTTTTTTTTGCCATTAATGTGCCATAAATGGCAAAGTTTTAAGCCCATGTGTTCCTTTTTTCCCTTCTTTTTACAGACTCCTTTTCAAGGCTGCTTTAATAAAGCAAACTCAAGCGAGTGAGTCAAGCCGCAGAACACTGGGTGAGGGGACAGAAAAAAACCCAGTGGAAATGGGTTAACTACGTAATCGGACCTGGAGGAAAGTGACTTGCTGTATTCAAACTATCAAATTTTCCCCCAAAAGCAACTTTCTACCTCTGCTGGCACAAGTCTTCTGGAAATGATAGGGCTGCCAGTCACTGAAGAGAGTGAGAAACAGATCCTCAAGTTATTAGGTAGATCTCGATGAATCACTACTGAGCTGCAACTGTCTTCTTGGAGCAGGAAAGAGTACCAACAGAGAATAGATTTCCCACATTCTCTTGGTTTCCCAAACAGGAGAGGCACAGCAAATGAGTCTCTTCTATAAGCAACAGCTCAAAGCAGCAGCATCAAAACAGTCCTGTCATTCTATGCTGTGAACTAGGGAGCAACACATTAAACTAAAAAAAAGGGGTGAAATGAATGCCAGCTGATGGAGGGACTAATGGGGGGCACCATGCCTGGCTATCTGTAGAATTCTCCCCTATTCAGTTGGAGTGAAAATTCCTCGCAACCCTTAAAGCAGGAAAGTTACAAGGTACACTTACAAAAATGCACAGGAGTCGCGAGTTAGCACAGATCAGCCGCGAAAGTGAGCAGCGTTCGGTTGTGAGCACCTATAGCAGACAACCACTATTACTGCCCGCATTAAAGGATTTACTGTCACTCTTTGATCACTATCTAGAAATCAGATGCTAATGCTGCAATCCACTGCACACTTAGCGAGAACAAAGTCCCACTGAAATCTGTGTGACTAAGCATGTACAGGATCAGACCCTTATTTCCTATAAGGCAACCTACTGCCCAATATACTCTAGGTCTAGGAGATCCATTGCCAATGAATGGATTTATGCTGCAAACTCAGACTGCCACACACCATCCCTTACACACACACACATTTATTTATTTTTTTAAAGACCTCATTCAATGACTCTAATTGAAAAAGTTAACCTCTGTCAATCCCCCAGAGGGACCAGCCTAGAGGGAGGACGGGCATGTTCAGCTCAGAACACCTAGAGCAAAATTATTATCTGCAATTAGCTCGCGTTTCCTTCGCTTGGCCCATGAGCTCTCTACATAGAAAGGTCACATCCTGTACTCCATGTAAACTTACTTGCAATCATTATCACAATTCACAATCACCAGCACACGGGGGGGGGGGGGTTGTTTAACTTTTTAGCCCACCTTGACTGCCGTTCCAACAGAGCAACTACAAAGCATTAAAGCATAAACAGGCCGTTCAATTTCAAGTGGCTAAAAAGGCACTTTTCCCACCCCAATCCTACACTAGCAAGCCATGGGCAAAACTAAGCTTTATTTCACCTGGGTCAGAGACCCAGTTTGGCACACACGCAACCCATGTGTATTTGCATGTACACACACAGGATGGGAGTCTCAATGGCACCCCTCTGGAGGCTTTGCCTGGGCAAAAAAACCCTGGCCTGCCTCCCCACCTACGGCTCTGCAGCAAGGCTGTGGTCCTATGCACACTTACTGCAAAATCCACTGAGTGCAGCACAATTTGCTTCTGTGTGAAGGTGCATATATATAGGATCAGCCTGTTACCCACATGCCTGGGACCGATTTATGAATGACCCTAATTAGGATTAGGATGTCTGAATCAGACAGGAAGGGCTCAAGGGCTTTTAATGGGGTATCCCTCTATTGGGAGGGGGGGAAGCTTGTGAGAAAACTTTCTTTTTTCCTCCATGGAAAGGGAAGGCCAGATGAACCAAAGTAACCCTATGCAGCCTTTTAAAGCTGGGAGAGACTCGGATGCCATGTCAGCTACTGGAGGCCACAAACGGGCAAAACCAAGTGGGGGAAAGGGAAGCCAGCCAGCTTGAGGAAAGATGTAGAGCCGGGAGGTGGGGGGAGGTCCGGAGCTGCCTGGGTAAGACGCTACTCACCTCTCTTGCTGCGTCTCCAGCGGCCGCCTTGGCAGTGACTGTAATCCATACAGTTCAGGATGATCAAGGCAAAAGAGAAGAAACGGAACTGCATCCTTCGGCTCCGGGGACTCGCGGCAGCAGCAGCAAAAGGACGGGGGCTGCAGGTCGCCGGCAGCGGCGCCGGGGAGTCACCAGAAACCGCCCTCCTTGCAGGCGGCGAGGGGACAAGGCAGAGCGAGGCGCGCAAGGAAGGACCGCGGCGGCGGCAGCAGCAGCAGAAGCCAAATAGCTCACACGCCTCCGGAGCTCCTTAGTACATCCAGCGAAGTCCCGGCAACTTCCAGCATCTCCTCAGACCTGAAAGACGGAGGAAGGAAATAAACGTTAAACACGCGCGCGCGCACACACAGAGACATAATACGGAGCGATCAATAGTTTTAAGGCTGCCTGCAACCCTGTATACTCAATTACACGGGAGTAATGCCCGCGGAGCTCTACGGGGCTTACTTCCGAGTAGACGCGTCCAGAACCGCCCGTTGGGCTTTGCACAGTCTTGGGAGTAAGCGACCTTGACTCCGACGGGGTCTACTCTAGAGTAACCAGACAACGGGCTGCATCACTAGTAACCAAACCTATTTCGAAGGCTGGGTCCACACGAGCGCGGACAGTGTGGATCTAAGCCATTCCTTTGCTCCGGCTCCCCCCGCCCGCCCCCCAGTAGATCAACCTTTAAGGTTCCCTGGAAGCAAGGTGGGATCGACGCCGCCCGATCCTGGTTATCTCCAGGTTGGGTCCGTTCGATTCCGACGAGCCTCGCAGCCCGATCCTCGACGCGCGTTCTCTGGGGCGCAAACCTCGCGCGGCGTTTCCCTGGCCTTCCAGGTGAGCGCGATGCAGCCGATCCCGCGCACGTGTTTTGGGGAAGAAGCCCCGCCGCTCGCAACCAGGGCCTTTTAAACCTCGTGCGCAGGAAGCGCGCCCCGGCAGGAACGAAACCGCGCTAACCCCAAACGTAGCCACACCCTGCCCCCAATTCGAGAGTCGCGCTGATTCCACTCGACAGGGCAGCCGGGCTCGCCCCCTTAACGACCGAGACGCTCAGAGGTGCTTTAAATAACGCGGGGGGGGGGACGAAGGGGGAGGGGGGAAAGAAGAAGACCGAAAGAGAAACCTCGCTTTGAATCAGGGGCTGGAGAGGCGCAACCCCTCGTCGTTGCGCGCGCAAAAGCGGAGTTTACCTCTCCGGACGGCGGGCGCCACCCTGTGCACGCCGCCGGCCAGCTCCTTCGCTCCCCCGACGGCAGGTCAGCCGAGCGCCTCGCCTCTGCTGCCCACTAAACAACCTGGAAACACGTGGGCAGCCCGGCGAAGTTTGGGGATTGCAGCCGCCCTGCAGTTGCAGCTGCCCGGCGCGCGTTTGGAGAGCCGCGTTCGCCCCCGCGCGCTGCTGCTGCTGCTGTTGCTTCTCCACGGAGGGATCCCGGCGCCAGTCCTACCCAGCTCCGCTGCGGCACAGAGGTGAGCGAAGTTCCCGTCCTCTGGGCTCAGCGAGCTGCTTTCCCGCTACTTCCCTTATAACAGCGTCGCGATCATGTGCGCAAAGCCAACCCCGCGGCTGCTCGGGGTGATTCCGCCGGCGCTCGCCCGGAGGCAGCTGTAAGCAGATGGCGCTGTGCGCCACAGCATTTCCCTTTGGCCGCCGCCGCCTTCTGAGGTCTTGCTGCTGCTGCTGCTGCTGCTGCTGCTGCCGTGCTGCTGCCTTTCTCCCGATGCCCCAGGTCAGGCATCTTAGAAACTTGTTTCCCAACAGCAGCAGCAGCAGCTGCAAGAGGCAGTGACGTGACCCAGGCTTCACCGGTGGCATTGCTGCCTGTCGTGTGCGTACCAGTTAAGGAAGGTGGGAGTCGGTTGCAGGTCACTGGTAGAGCACGTGTTTTTGCATATCCCCGTTTCAAGCCCACAGTTGAGAAGAGTTGTCTGAGACCAGGGGAAAATGCTGCCCATCAGGAAAAAAGATGCCTCACTCATATCATTGTCCCATGAGCACGGTGGATTAAGTGATCTGATTCATTATGAACTAGGTTTGAACACTGCCCACTTAAAACACAGCTAGGCCATTCTTTTTTCCTCAATTCTAATGGAAGCTGGTTTGGGGATAAAGTCATGAAAACATGGCATTTCCTAAGCAATAACAGGATAGCTATGAATTGTAGCTCCTTTTCTGTGAGCACTGCTTTCCAAACCATGAGGGATGTAGAGACCCTATGACACATATAAAGACATACATTGGTTCCCAGTACGTTTCCAAGTACAATTCAAAGTGTTGGTGCTGACCTTTAAAGCCCTAAACAGCCTGAAGGAGCATCTCCCAGGGGTATAGGAAGGAAGGGGTGGGGTAGCCCCAGGTGCCATCATGGAAGGGGGCGACAAATTATCAAAGAACAATTACTGCCCTATTAGGGTGGTTCATAAAAACTTTTTTGAAAATGCCTGCTCCAAAGGTCTTATCTTACTACACTAGGGATTATATAGCTATATATGAAATTTCATGCATATCAGTTAATATCTTGACCCTCCTCCATGAAAATAGCTGTTTACTTGGACAGGGCTGCCTTTAGATGTCTTCTAAAAGTCAGATAGTTGTTTATTTCCTTGACATCTGAAGGGACGCCACCACCCAGAAGGCCCTCTGCCTGGTTCCCTGTAACCTCACATCTCCCAGTGAGAGAACCGCCCTCGGAGTGTGACCTCAGTGTCACACAAAGGGACAGCAATTACTGTACAAAAAATAATAATCTCAGATAGCAAAAGAATGTCAGTATCCAGCTAAATCATCTGGTCAGTTCTGTTCCAGAGTGTTGTTTTCAGCTAAGTCTTATTTAGAGTAGACCCACTGAAATTAATGAACCTAAGTTAGTTGTGTCTATTCACTTCAGTGAATCTACTCTGCATAGATAGGACTAGCACTGAAAACCACCCAGATTGAGGGGGGGAGATGGTCAAAGTTCTGCTGCACCACTTTCTGTTGGTGGAACAAGTGTGTTGGACACCACACAATGCTTAGCAAAAGTTTGAGATGTTTGATTTAACAGCAAAATTGACATATAAGTAAAAGGGTGTGGGACCAAGAAGAGGTTATGTTGAAATGGAAACCAATTTATTCGTTATTCCAGAAGAAATACTTTGCTTCCCCATTATGACTTCATAATGTTTTAAGGTGTTTATCCTACCATGCATTTATGTTATATAATTACAGTGTTTTAATGTCAATAATAATATATGTGAATTATTTAATAAAATGCTGATTAATAAGTTTGAGTTTTATATATCTCTTGTGCAACTAGTTGACAATTTTTCATATCTTTTTTTAAAAGTCAGTCTTTGGCTGAAGAGATGGGTAAAAAGATTTTGAATAAATAAGCAAATTAAAATCCCGCTACAATCTCTGGATATTTTAAGACTGCAGTCCTACACACACTTAGGCAGTAAATCATATGGAGTTCAGTCAAGCAATTCTATGTGCTTAGAATGGCACTGCATGTCATACTGAAAGGGATAAGCACACTTTTTTTAAAAAAAAAAATTGCTTCTTTTTGGCCTCAAAAGCAACAGATACCAAGAAAATTAAAATGTAATACATTGTTGTTGGTCTTGGCAGTGAGCTGCATTTTTTTGAGCAGTGACATAGTCACCCTTTTAAAAATTTTGAAACCTTCCCTTTGGATTGCAGTCTTTGGGAGCAACAAATCCCTTGTAGCATAGCTCCACCGATTATGCTCTTGTGGAAGAACTATGCAACAGAAAAAGATTAACAATGGATTGAAAAGTCAAATGAGGGTGTCGGAGGATCTACAGCTGCCATCTGCGAGAAATTCTCCATTTTGTTCTGATGATAAATGAAACAGGAAATAGTCCAGGAGCTATGGTTGTCATAATTTGTTTGGAGAAATTGTTATAATTGTTACACAATTGTGCCTTTCACTCATATACATGATCATAAGTACAATTGTACCTTGGCTCTTGAACGTAATCCGTTCCAGAAGTCCATTCGATTTCCAAAAATGTTCGAAAACCAAGGCACGGCTTCCGATTGGCGGCAGGAGCTTCCTGCACTCAATCGGAAGCCGCGTCAGATGCTCAGGTTCCAAAGAACATTTGCAAACCGGAACACTTACTTCTGGATTTTCAGCATTTGGGAGCCAAAACATACGAGTACCAAGGCGTTCAGGAACCAAGGTACATAAGAAGAGCCTGTTGGATCAGACCAATGTCCCATCTCGTTCAGCATTCTGATCTCACAGTGTCCTGAGCAGTTGCCTTTGGGAAATCAGGGAGCTGGACCCAACAGCAAGATCCTTCTCTTCTCCTGTGGTTTCCAGCAGCTCGTATTCAGAAGCATTGCCTTCTAAAACCGTCTTGTTTTAGCTACTTATAAATTGTTTTCCATTTTATTTTCATGTTTTAGGGGGCTCCTGTGACTTTGTCTGTTCTTATTTAGCAGCTGAAAGGGGCCATTGAAGTAAATGTCTTCTCCCTGCTCCTTAGATGTTGTCGCCATTGCTCTTGAAGTCAACCGCACCGAAAGCCAATTAATTGTGTCTGGATCTTGCCCATTCATAAACGTTTCCTGCTGACTTGTCAATTAGTGACCTCCCCGTCTCCATCTAGCAAGGGTTGTGGCCCTGCTTTGTTCTGTATGTCGTGCCAATCTTTTGGCACAGAATAAATGCCAAATAGCCAGAGTCATCGTAGAAAACGGCCAACGCAGCCAAGTAAAGGTCAGCTTCAACACTTGAAAGTATACTAGGAAACCCTCCATCCATCTGTGTTGTCTATTTGGCTAGATTAATCATGAACCTACAGTTCCAAACGTTCAAAGTTATCAAGGTTTCAGAGCACGTTCCCACCAAAAACAAAAAAATAAAAACCTTCATTGCGGAGTGTTTATAAAAATATGTCCCAGGGGCATACGCCCTCAGGTTTTTGTGCATTGCAACATTTTGTTCCAAAATGTGATTGTAATTCCTCTTCCTGGGAGCACTCGGCTATAGCAACCCCAATCCTGGATATTTTACAGCAATATGGAAGAGGACTTGCAGCTCTGCAGATCAGAAATGTACAGTGGTACCTCGGGTTAAGTACTTAATTCGTTCCGGAGGTCCGTACTTAACCTGAAACTGTTCTTAACCTGAAGCACCACTTTAGCTAATGGGGCCTCCTGCTGCCGCCGCGCCGCCGGAGCACGATTTCTGTTCTCATCCTGAAGCAAAGCTCTTAACCTGAAGCACTATTTCTGGGTTAGCGGAGTCTGTAACCTGAAGCGTATGTAACCTGAAGCGTATGTAACCCGAGGTACCACTGTATTCCCCAATCCTCCATCCCATTCCAGATGACTTGTTATAAACCAAGGATAGAGAGACTTTGGCTCTTCAAATTTTGTTGACTCCAACTTCTAGCACCCCTGACCATTGGCTCTGCTGGCTAGGGGTGATGACTTGGGAGGCCAATGTTGGGGGGGGCACAGGCTACCCATGCCTGAGAGAGGCTAAGAGGCCTATGCCAGTTCAGTTTCCCCTTTTCTTCTACCTTCCATTTTTAATTTTTGTTTTCAGCTCCCTCATCAACATTTCATGATTCAAACTGCATTCACTCAAACATTTGACTTGTAGACTTGGGTAAGTGAGAGTGTCTCCAAGTCGTAACATGACTTGGGAATTCAAAAGGTATTTGGGTTAAATTAATATAATTTAGTTTTGCTTGGTTAGTAGAATGTGTTTAAAAGTGCATAAAAATCATTGAAAATGATTGCCAAGTTCTTGCAGTTATATATTATTACTATTTAGCAATACCTAAATTAAAATTCTTTGGCTTTTGGAAAGCAGCTTATGTGCTTCTTCATCAAATGTAGACTTACCAAGCTAAACGTTGTCCAGTCACAAAAATAATAGCAGATTTGAATTCCTCACACCAAAAGATATATTTTTAAGACCCCCTCACTGGAGAAATCTGCAAAAATTTAGTTTCACCTCCTAAAATGACACAACTTACAGTGCCATCCATATGTTCCATGCATGCAAGAAGAACACTGTATGTTATTAGTTCCATTTATTAGTTGCCATAGGCGACTTGGAACAAGACTGGTTAAAAACGTCCAATATTGTCAGCACCAATTTTAAATGTATAAAAACAAAACGACAACAAACTGGACAAGCCACAGAACCTACCTCTACAAGCAAAATAACAGCAACCATCAGAGTTCTGCTGAATCCAGTTTTTCTTCAGAAAAAGCGGTGTGTGGGGGTGAGTGTGTTTGTGTGTTTTCTCTGCCAGGAGTGGGGAGGGGAGAGGCAACCAGAAGGGACAATGCCCACAACACACTCTCAAAATTACAAATTTGCCTATGGGTCAGGAAGGGCCGACAATGTGGTGTGCTGAACATGCCTATACCAGAACATCCCTGTTTTGCAAAAGAGAACTTGTAATGCCTCACTGGACAGTGAAATGCAGATTTTTGCCAACTGATAATAGCAAAGGGAGTCTGAAAAGAATCTTGGACAATTAACAATGTTTGATAAGCTCCTGACAAAGTGTTTTGACAAAGAGGCTACAGGCCCTGCGGGGCTTGCCAATGGATTTTTTTGGGAACCACAGAACTATATAGATTCAGCAGTTAAGCAAGCAGCACAAAGTGAAGTCTCACAGCTCT